TTACCATGGTTTATAATCTTGTTGATCTGTTGCATTATGTTTGCCACTATGTCACTGAATATGTTCATTATGGAGATTATCTTATCATTCTCTTCTTTGATTGGCTCCTTCTCTGCTTTTGGTATCAGGGTAATGTTTGCTTCCAGGAATAAATTTAGGAGTATTGTTCTCTTTATGTTTCATTAAAGCATGTGAGAAGCAGTGGCATTAGATCTTCTCTAAACTTCTTGTAGAATTCAGCATTGAATTCATCAGTATCTAGGCTTTTCTTTGTTGATAGCTTTTTAATTACATCTTTAATTTTATTAACTGATGTTCTGTTAGCTAAAGTTGGCTTAGCTAAGGGTGCCTAAGGGTTTGTTGATTTTATTTAATCTTTCACAGAATGAACTGTTTATTCTCGGATTCTTTGTATTGTTGTTGTTGTTTTTGTTGTTTAAGTCTCCATTACATTGTTTTGTGCTCTGATCTTTTGCATTTTCTCCCAGATAGATTTGGACTTCACCTATTCTTTTAGAAGATTGAAGTTCAGTGTTAAGTTATTTGCACTTGCTTTTCCCTAAATAAGGAAATTCACCATTCTAAACTTCTTTCATAGGACTGCTTTCATCCTGCCCCATAAGTTCCAGTATAATGTACTGGGATTATTGTTTAATTATAGCAAATTTCTAATTTCTTCTTTCATTTCATCTTCAACTCATTGTTTATTCAAGACAAAGTTATATAATTTCCATGTGTTTTCAAAATTTTTGTGGTTTCTTTTGCCACTGATTTCCTATTTCATTGCACTATATTATGATAATATGTATAGGATCACATTATTTCTTTTGCATTTACTTGAGCATGTTTTTTGAGCTAGTATGTTGTTTATTTTGAAGAATATCCATGTGCAGCTGAGAAGAATGTGTATTCTGATTTTGTAGCGTGGAAGTAGACATTGACTAAGTCCATTTTTTAGATGTTTGGTTCAGTTCTAATATTTCATTGTTGACTTTTTGTCTACTTGATCTGTCTATTTGTGACAGTGGTTACAAAGTGTCCCCCATTACAACTGTATTACTGATTCTTCGATTTCTTAATGTCTATTAATATTTGTTCATATATATGTGTCATTGTTATTTCTTCCTCTTATATTTTTTCTTCTACAAGGATATAGTGACCTTCTTTGTTTGTCTTAATAAGCCTTGAGTTGAAAACCATAGAGTCTGTAAATACAATAACTATTCTTGCTTTTTTCTGGGTTTCTCGCACATGGACCATACTTTGAGTCTATGAACTTTTTTTGAATCATAGGTATTTCCTGTATACAAAATATTATTGGATCTTGCTTTTTAGTCCATTCTTCCTGTCTGTTTCTTCTGTTTTGAAAGTTGAGACCTTTAACATTGATGGTGATCACTAATTTGCATTGACTTATCCATGTCATCTTATTTTCCTAATGTTGGCTCCCACTTTTTTCATTAGAAATCTGGCGTGACTCTGATGAACTTTCCTTTATATATAATTTGTTTTCTAACAACTTTTAGTCTTCTGGGTTTTTGTTGAATTTATTGTATCCGGTCTGTTTTATGCCTTGATGTAGGTTTTTTCATGATGGCTAATTAGAGTCCTATGTGGCTCATTTCATTCTTTTGCTCTGCTTGGGATGTTTTCTGCTATGATTTCTGTAAGCAGGATTTTTTATGTTATCTGTGCTGTTTTCTGGTTTTTCATGGACTCTGATCAATCTTATTCTTTTTTTACATCATTTAGTAGTTATTGGATTGATTTTTCATGGTCCCTTGTTATTTTTAAGAAATTGTCCTTTTCTTCATTGCTAACTACAGTCCTGTTTTGTATATCTGAGACACTGTCCTCGCATTGGTTCATTCTAGTGCACACAGTTTCAATAGAATATATTATGTCCTGAGTATCTATTTACACTCTTTTATGGTTTTAATTTCTTTCCTATATTGGGCATTTATGGTTTCCATCATTTTTCTAAACTTCTTTATATTTTTATCTGTATGTATTTCAGAGTCATTAAATGTCTTTTGCTATTGTCACCATCTCTGTAGTTTTGGGAAAATTATTTCTAATTTGATATTTTTTCTAGAGCTTCATTTCATTTGTTACTTCTTCTGTTACCACTTCAGGGAGCCCAAATGGGTGGCTTTCTGATTGTTGTACCTCTTTGACCCCTATGTTTGCTTTTGGTGAGCTGGAAATCTGGGATTGCATCTTGTTTTAACTATCTTCTCATTTCATTTTTTTTTCTTTTTACTGTAATTCCTGGGTTGATGCATGTAAATTACCTATGGTGAGTAACTTCAGAACATACAGTTAAGTAAAAAAAATTGAACACACATGTGTAAATACTGCTTTTTTCCCTTCTAGTGTGAGCAACAGAAAGTGTAAATAATGACAAAATGTACAGTAAGTGTTTTGAAATACAAACAAAATGTTCAACTTTGAAAGGAACAAGGAAGGTGGAATTGGAAAGGAAAAAAGGAAAAAAATGGAAATAAAGTTTGTAAATGCTGAAGAGAGGAGGGCTTGATGAAAGGGTACAAGAATAGCCCCCCCAAAAAGCAGCAAGTTACATCATGTACATATACAAATTTTCTATGATAAGTATGATCATTATGTATATCTAAAATATACCAATAAAATCTGATTGAATTAAAAACACTGAATTTTTTTTTCTTTGACAATGTGTGTCAGTCATTCTGGAAGACTTCCTTCGAAACTTATTGCCCTAGATAAGTACTATGAATTTGAGATTGGCTCTAGTTGTAGCTTTTTTTTTTTTTTTTTTTTTGATGGCACCAGGGATCAAACTCAGGACCTTGTGCTTGCCAAGCAAGCCCTTATTCCACTGACCTATCTCCTCGGCCAATAGTATAATTTTTAAAATGATAGTCTCCCTAGATTCTGGAGGATAAAATGTAGGAGTATCATAATTTTCTGTGGAATAGGAATGCTGCTCTCTATTGTAAGACAATTTGAGAGTATATATCTGTGTGATTCAGTATGCCATAGATTGAGAACTTGAGAATGATAACTCAAAATGATAAACAGCATCACATGCTTTGGGCAACAATCTTCATTTGAAGTAGTGCAGAAGGATGCTCCTCTGATTTGTCAGCATTTTGGTCATTTTGTGTAGTATACTGATAAGGGCTTAGTTTTTTTTCTCTCTCTTTTGTCTTTTTTTTTTAATTGGTTAGTGCTCAGCAAACAGTACACATTTGACTTCAAAAGAAAAATTGGAAAAAGTCAAAGGTTAAGCTTCAACTGATTATTGGTGAATGTTGTATCTGCTCAGTATTGAGACTCTGGAGGAAAGAGCAATTTCTCTCTGTGGTGATTGATCACTATGATATGAATAAACACCATATTTAACTTTACTGACTTCTCATCTTTCCCTGTCTCTACCTGTGGGCTGCAGAGGCACTGAAAACTATGTATAACTTAGAAATATAGTTCACCTTCTGAGTGTTGGTTCCCTTGTAAATGGCAGCAAAACAGGATTCTTACTTAACTAATTTCCCTCTTGCTTCTTTTGGAGGAAGGTTTTAAGATGTAAAACTTATTCAAGATTTTACCATGATTGTGATTTTTCTTAGTTTAAAATTGAATATACAATTGGCAACAACTGAGAAAGCAAAGAAATATTTCAATACAAGTATTTGTTTCGCATGTATGTATAAAGATCTATAAAATCAAGATGAAGATAAAATCAACTGTGATTAGCTCCACTACATTTCCTTGATTTCACATAATTACTCTGGTGGTAGCCACAGGCTGGATGGAATTTTGTAAACTCTTTTGGCCCTTAACAAACTCATCAAACAAAATGTTATTTGGGTTCCTCTCTTTAGAATTTTGGAGAATGGGCCAGGGAAATAGCTCAGTGGACTAAGTTTCTGCCTGGCATGTGCACGGACTCAGATTTGATGCCTAGCACCAGCCCTACAGGCCATGTCGGTCCTGCCTCGGGTGCACTGAGCCAGCCACCAAAACCTGGAATAGTGGTGCACACCTGTAATCCCAGCACTGAGGAGGCTAAAACAGGAGGATCACTATGAGTCTTATCTGCATAGTGAGATCCTGTACCAAATACATTAAAATTTTTTAAAAAAAGAATTTTGAAGGAGTTTATAATTGAGGTTAATATATTATTATTAGATGATGAAAATATTATTTGTAGCTTCTATTAGACAACCTAATGGACATTGTAAGAAATTTTGTATTTCAGCTTCTTCACTCTCCTACTCTATTGCCTGTGGGCTTGTGTTATTTGAAGATGGATTTTGTTTTTTATTATTTTCATATGATTAAAATTCTTATTATTGATTTTTTTCCTACAAGTGATACTAAATTAAAACGTTTGATAGAATTAGAAAAAATATTGATCCAATAAGCTTGAGACATTTCTACCTAAATGAATAAATCTTGATATCATACTCTTAGGTTAAATAAATTAGACATGCATGTATGAATGTTGCTAAATAAATTTTTCAAACCAGAGAAAGCAAGTTGTAATAAAGACCAAAATACATCAACCTGATTTAGTATTTAATTAAGTTTTTTTCTATAAAACCAGCTTCAACTTTTAAACTTCTACCTAAGTATAATCAAAGGTAGAATGACAATTCTATAAATAGTCAGATTTGAAGCAGTATATTCTATGGTCTGTCAGAATCATTCATTAAATATTTATCTGTGCCTGTGTTTTGGGTGATTTTCAGGGTCCTTCCGTGACCTTTGTTTAGAATCAATACACAACATATCTGTCACCATTCCAGGCAACCTGTTGCTATTGCTGTAGTAATGAATTGGAATCTAGTACCAGAATTGTTATATGAAAATATGTGCATATACATGGGTTTGTTGATCAAGACTTGGAGTAAATATTTGAAGGAATCAAGCTCAAATCAGCTTTTACAGGAGCAAATCAGATATTTTAGGATGTGAGTTTTAACCTTCTTTCAGGAAATGCATCTGTTATTATTCAGGAGTCAGTATCCTTGGAGGATGTTGCTGTGAACTTTACCATGGAGGAGTGGGCTTTACTGAATCCATCCCAAAAGAAACTCTACAGAGATGTAATGTTGGAAACATTTATGAATATGACTGATATTGGTAAGAATGACATTCTTTTCTTATTTATGCTATTAGAGAGTGTTGGTTCTTATTCATGTAGAATGCGAAAACATTTTGAAGAATGTCTTGTGCCTGTTCACATTATACCATGAATCTAACCACTATCTGCTAATTGTTGTATAATGATATAGTGACTTGTATTTCCATTGCTACAATTCAGGAAGGAACTGGGACAACCATCCAATTGAAGAAGAATACAAAAATACCTCAAAAAATCAAAGGTAATTTGCATTCACAAGTACAAGGAATATGCCCTAAGAGTTGTTTGAGCAAAAATATTACAGACAAGAAAATTAGACAAATGTTATGTCTACATTTTTTTAATCTCACAAAAATTCTGTTATGTAGAAGTTGTTTTTGTATACTTTGACATAGAATAGAGAAATATTCTAATATAGGCAAGTAACTTGTTGGAGATACAATGCAACAAGAGACATTGTCTCCTACATCATTTTTAAAAACTTCTTTCATGATCAACAACATAAAAATGTATGCTTTGCATTTAGCTATTGTGTATAGGCATATATGAAAAGAATAAATTTTGAACATTGACAAACTCATCTTCAAGTTACTATTTATGTATGTATGTGAACATGAGATATACATTATCTAAAAAAATTGTTAACCTGAAAAATGTATTGAAAATGCAAATTAATGCCAGTGTAATAGTAGATATTTTCTAAACAGCCTCCAGAGAATTGGGTGAATTCATGTTTTAAAATTCTTAGAAGGCAGCCATATACATTGCTGGTGGGAATATAAAATAGGACCATTTTGATAATTAATGTACAGATGTCTCAAAAATAAAAATATGAGTTTGCATGTCATCCAGGAGAAACTCCGTATGTATATTTTGAAACAATTTAAAATTATTGTATGTTAATTGTACCTGCATATTCATACTCAAAGCAGGGTGTGCATGGGTATTCATAATACCTAAGTTCTGGAAATAATTGACAATACCTAAGTTCTTCTAATAGCCTAGATGCCTAACCTGGAATGCATGGAAAAAGAGCATGTGGAACAAGCTTAACATAGTAGTGCCTTCTTATAATTCCAGCACTCTGGTAAGCTGAGTGAGCCGGGTAACAACACAAACTTTCTGCTCACCAAATTAATGATCAGGGAGACCCTCTAAACAAAACATCACGAATGTAGTAATGTACTTTAGTGCTAAGATCCTTATTAATTTTTAGCGTGGAAAAAATGTGCTATATATTAAGCCATACAGAAATATGGTACCAAATCTTTTCACACATATACACACAAAGATGGGGCTCCATCTCATAATGTTAAATGAAATAAGCCATACTCAGAAACTGAATTATCACCTAAGATACCAAAATATAAATTAAGGATCACAATTAAGGAATAGTGATAAAGAATAATAAGGCTGACTTGTTGGAAATAGGAAGATGACCTGGGTAAAGAGAAAAGGGGGAGTGATGGTGGAAAGGGTGTCAGAAATGATCACTATAGTTTCATGTTTGGAGTGCCTGTCATTCTGGTATTCTGAATATGGGTGGCTTGTCATGACATGCCAGTTACTGCTAAGATGTCTCTCGGGTAGGTGGATGTTCAAGAAGAAGGGGGTGGTGAATGAAAGCAAGAGATAGGAAAAGGAATATTGTGGGACTGTCCTGCTTCAAGGTTGTATATGGTGAGATTTTTGGACTTATGTGCAAACATGAGAAGCATAGAATTCTTTATCCTATTTTTTAAAATATAATCTAATTTTTAAATGTTTTTTATCATATTATGTAGGGACTTAAAGTTCAACATATCAATACTTGATGAAAAATACCTGTTCCTTATTATGCCTAAGATGTTTGAAATGCAGTGAGATAGTGAGGTTAAGCTTGATAGCCTAAATCGTTTGATAATAACAATAAGCTTGTCTTCTGGATGGTTAACAACCTAAGTTTGCAGACCAAAATTAGAGACAAAGGAGGGCTACAAGGAAAGCCAACATTTTGGCCCTAGCCTTCCAAGGTCAATTAAGACTCAGGACATATAAGAACTTGTACTGTAACGTCATGTACCTCGGTAATGTCCCAAATTTTCTGATCAAGAAGATAATGGGGCCAAAGAGGAAAGTGATCGATGATGTAGAGTGTGCCTAAGGAGAGTCACATGGGGAGAAGACACTCTCTCAGGCTTTCACAGAGAGCACATTGGCCAAGCAATGGCCGTGACTCATCCACATGGCTGCACTGACAAAGGTTCTACAATCTGAGGTACAGGATCTCAGGATAAATCCTGAGGGGATTTCACTGACCTTCTCAGACCAAAAACCTACAACTCTTGTTGCACAGGTCCTGCTTCACCTTGGTCTTAACGATCCAGTAGAAAAGTATGAAGACAAAATATAGGAAGTAAACCCATGCTGTTATGTTGAGCTGTGAGGGACTCAGGTCAGTAATTTCTGACATTGCCAGTTAAACAGAAGACCCGATGCTATTATGGGCTAGTGGACTCTTTTAGAATATTTTGCTGAGTTTACACACCTATAATATTCAATAACGGAACTTAGAAAAAATGGGGTATACAGATGAATGTCCATTTTGTATTTGTGTATTCCAAGTGGTTGGGATAGATATATAGTTGCATTCTCTTAATGAATAGAATGATTTGTTCTAATGGTGTTTGTAAATAGGATCACAAGTCCACTTCTTGTACAGCAATTAACCACTAAGAAGAATATATGCAGTGTATTATTTGTTGAAACTCTACTTCCAATTTGATTTGAAACTGTCTCATTGCTATCTGTTTATCAATAAAATTTTGAAAAAAAGAGAAATGATCACTATGTAATCCACATATGTTTCAGTTGTCTAAATGAAACTAGAGCTAACATATTGTGAATATTTATCAATTTAAAATGTCTAAATGGATACTATCCTTTTGGGAATGTGTGTTTTGGCAGCATTCTCTAAAGCATTCAACAAATTCTTTCTCAAACGTTTTTAGGAAACATCAAGTCAGATCTTCTCCTGGTATTATACAGAGGCCTTTTTATTAAGATTGATATTTTTATTCTTCTTTTTTCTTTACAGTAATGAAGAGGTAGCAAGATGGTGTCAATATAAACATTGGAATCAATATATAAATCTGTTTCTGTGGGCTCCAGATGCTAATGTAGACATGCAACAAACTGTTGTAAGGCAAGCTGAAAGTTTTGCTTGCAGAAAGCCTCTGATGGGACATTTATCACTAAATGTGCCCATTTTACCTCACACTGACTTCAATCCAGAAAAGTATTTGGCATTTACTGTCAGACCTTATCAGTATGAACAATATGGAAAAATCTACTCTGAACATAATGAAAGAAGTCACCATGGAGAGACCATTGTAAGTAAGAAAAGTGTAAAATCCTCCAGAAGTCACAGTGGTGTTAAAGTTTGTGAAAGTGTTTGCACTGGAAAGAAACTGTATGTATGTACGCAATGTGGGAAAACTTTCAAAACTCAAAGTTGTTGTAAAATTCATGAAAGATTTCACACGGAGGCCAAACCCTATGTATGCAAGCAATGTGGAAAAGGATTTGTTGAGAAGTCTGCATTTTGTAGACATGGAAGAACCCACACTGGTGAGAAACCATATATATGTAAGCACTGCGGCAAAGCATTCACTTCAAACCAAAGTTGTCAAATGCATGAAAGAACTCACACTGGAGAAAAACCTTATGTGTGCAAGTTATGTGGGAAAGCATTCAGTACACACCAGTACTGCCAAAGACATGAAAGAACTCATACTGGGGAGAAACCTTATATGTGCAAGAACTGTGGGAAGGCATTCACTTCACACCAATACTGTCAAATACATGAAAGAAATCACAGTGGGGAGAAACCTTATGTGTGTAAGGAATGTGGGAAGGCATTTACTATGCAGATTCATTATAAAATACATGAAAGAATTCACACTGGGGAGAAACCTTATGTGTGCAAGCAGTGTGGAAAAGCATTCACTACATACAAATATTGTCAAAGACATGAAAGAACTCACACTGGGGAGAAACCTTATGTGTGCAAGCAATGTGGAAAAGCATTCACTACAAAGAATACTTACAATGTGCATGAAAGAATTCATACTGGAGAGAAACCTTATGTCTGTAAACAATGTGGGAGAGGCTTCACTACATACAGTGGACATCAAAGTCATGAAAGAACTCACATCAGGGAGAAACCTTATGTATGTAAACAGTGTGGGAAAGGATTCACTACAGTCAAATATTGTCAAATACATGAAAAAACTCACACAGGGGAGAAACATTATGTGTGCAAGGAATGTGGAAAAGCATTCAATAGAAAGAGTTCTTATAAAATACATGAAAGAACTCACACTTGGGAAAAACCTTATGTATGCAAAGAATGTGGGAAAACATTCAATACAAAGAATTCTTACAGTGTACATCAAAGAATTCACACTGGGCAGAAACTTTTTGTGTGCAAGCAATGTGAGAAGGCATTTATAACACACAGAGACTATCAGAGACATGAAAGAACTCACACAGGAGAGAAACCTTATGTGTGCAAGCACTGTGGGAAGGCATTCACTACACATGAATATTGTCAAATACATGAAAGAACTCACACAGGGGAGAAACTCCATGTGTGCAAGCAATGTGGAAAAGCACTCACAACAAAAAGTTCTTATATCATACATAGAAGAACTCACACTGGGGAGAAACCTTATGTGTGCAAGGAATGTGGAAAAGCATTTGCTAGAAAGAGTTCTTATAACATACATAAAAGAATTCACACTGGGGAGAAGCCTTATGTTTGCAAGCAATGTGGAAAAGCATTCACTGCAAAGAGGTCTTACAACATACATGAAAAAAGCCACATAGGGGAGAAATCTTAATGTATGTAAGCAATGTGGAAAATCATTTACTACAAAGAGCTGCAACATACATGAAAAAAGTAATATAGAGATGGAACCTTGTGTTTGCAATCATTGTAGAAAATGTGTAGGCATTCTCTATCTAACTACATGAAAGAAGTTACACTGAGGAGAAATCCCATATATGTAACCCTTTTTTGAAAATATTGTGAAAATTCTTCATATAGTGGAGATCTGTACAAAATAAATGAAAAATTCAGTGTCATCATTCATAAGTTTTCCAGAAAATACATCCTTACATGGAGATACCTAGAATATATTCCTTCTATATTTCTCAGTAGATCAATTGTATGTGTCTGAACTATATATTCTTATTCTTTACTGTAAAAAATAATGACATATTTTTGTATGAGCCATTGCCTTTGAACTTAATATATGGTATCTTCTAATTAAAGGGGAATTTAAATGTATTTCCCACTTCCAAGTAAGGCTGGTACTTACATAGTTTCAATTTTGTTTGTTTATAGTATTGGAAAGTATAGACCATGAAAAAATAAATTTTATTGATGGGATTTCCCACTAGATTTGATTTTAATTTTCATAGTATATATGCTTCGCATTCTTTGTCAAATATTTTTAACTTTAAATGATAATGTATATGTTTATGTATGCATATTTAGAGATATGTGAACATGAGTTTTTGAAAAGTTGAATTTTTAACACAACTTATAAATTAGAAAACTGTTTGATTTTTTTCATATCTTAATAAAATACCTGGCTATTTCCCAAAATAATTAAATTATATTAAGTATGTAATTTTGTCTACTTTGCTTTAAACCATTGTCAATATTATGATTTACAGAAAAGTTTTCTTTCCATCAATATTGACTTTTTATGTTTATATTTTCATGACTTTAAATTGTGGTAATTTTACCAACACTTATACAAAAAAATAAACCATACTGCTATTTCTGATTCTGTGAAATGAGATGGACCATGACTTGTCTGTAAAAGGATATCGTGAACTGCAGTAATGGGTCAGTCAGTGCTTGTTAAAGAAATAGATTTAATGTGAGACATGTACGAATGTATAATATTGGCTTACAAGGCCTGCCACACAATCAAATATGGAAGAAGGTAAAAGATTTGTCTTCTCCCAGGACATCAAATAACTTCAGCTGAAGGCTTGGAGCCCACTGTAGTCCCCTGTGAAAGTCTATATAAGGAGGTCACAGGTCTCTGCCAGAAGACTGAATGGTCCAGTTGAGGGCTGAAGAGTCTGTGCCGAAAGACGAGGTGACTTCCAAGGTGCTGGTGAATACTCGAGCTCCTGCAAAGAAACAGAAGCAAGTCTTCTTCTTCTTTTTCTTTCTTTTTTTTTATATAACTTTCTCACAACCATCCTCTCTAGGGTGGGTCTTCCATACCCATAATTTTGCCTGGCAAATTTAGTTGGACATATAGTACTGGAGTAGACACAATCAGTTAACTCTCATGTGTCCATACCTTGACAACCTCACAACCATGTTTCTTTAAACCATAGAAAGCCACAAAGATGAGCTGATAAATATACCTTACATGTTATAAGTGTCCTGAATACAAATGGAAAGACATTAAATTCCCCTCCAAAATTCAAAGGAAGTTTTCTTTTGGCGATACTTCTAACATTTCATAACTTGACAATGTAACATAGGATTAACAAGACTTAGCCTGTATTAAGACTATCAATATAACACTAAAAGCATATTAGGAAAGAAATATTACAATTCTTGTTTCTGTAGCTGATCATAGAACCGTAGGCCAGGCACAGCAAATCTAGAGTTGGAGGTCCTGTGGAGTTTGCAACAGATGCAGAAGCCAGAGCAAACGGTGGAGGTGCTGGGAAAGAGATTCTAGTATGGATGAGGATGATGAGGGTGCTTTCAGTTTTTAAAACAAGCCATGGGTCTTGTCCTCAACCAGTCATCAGAATTCTTACTTGATCAGCCAATATGCAGTCTTCATGAGCTTGCTCTGGAATAATGCACTGCAAGGACTTACAAGTTCCCCATAAAGAGGTTGGACTTGAAAAGTGCTGAGTTAGAAGGCTGTCCTTACTACTAGCCTGTGCTATGACAGTCCCATCTTGGACAGAAAGTAGAGGAGAAAGGAAGTCAGCTGTACTTTTTAGTTTGTCATTCTGGACAGACACATTATTGTAGCAGTGTTCTTGTTCCCAATCTATTCCTCCACATCCTGAGAAATAGTGATAATTTTTTCCAATTTGGAAGCTCAGATTGTTTTGGTCAAGCATCAAAGTAAAGGTACACTTTAAGAAGAGAGGGGTTCCTTCTAGTCTGATTTATAACAGGACTTAAGCTGTAAGTTTAAACTTGGAATGCCCAATGTCCTGTCTTATGTTCCCAGTATGTTTAGGCATATTATCCACAGAAAAATTATTTTAAATAAGAGCACTTAATCAAATAAATACAAGGTAGAAAATAGCAAAAGCAAACTTTTCTAGAATTACCCAGTCCTCTGAGAATACAGCCCAAAGTCCAACAGCAAGTATGAAGACTGACAGGAGGAAAAAAGGCTAAGAATGCAACGTATTAACAGTCAATCCAGAGTACAGGTATTCCAGTGTAGGAAGTCATTTCAATCTTCAGCTTTGTGTTCACTTGTCAGGTTCCAGGGGTGATGAGAGCAAGCTTTTGAGTGCATTGTGTCTTTGGAGTTGTCTTAAGAGACCAGCTCATCAGAGTAAGCCCAGGTGTCATCAGGATGGCTGTCTTAACTCTAGGGTGATGAATACAGGGATGTATCTCTGGGCTATCACTGCAGTGTGAATGCTCAGTATTATCAAATATGGGCAACTCCACCAGGAGATAATGGTTGTTTTTTCCATCTTTAATCAAAACCATGTCACCTGTGCTATAGTTGTGAGCAGGTGTGTCTATGGGAAAGCCATTTCAGCTATATTTTCATGTGTCTGGGAGAAGACTTTTTCCCCAAATGAATGACCTGTTTCTGTACAGTGATATTGCCCAACTGATGTAGGTCTGCCTGGAGACCCTTTATTAAATGTGAAGACTTCCAACACATAACTTCAAAAGGGGTATATCCATTAGACCTGACTTGTAAGAGGGACTTGGGTAGCAAATCCATGGCATCTGAGTCTTGATAATATTTTGTCAGTATTGTCTTTAAAGTCTCGATCATTTGTTCCACCTTACCTCAGAACTGTGGAGTCTATAGGCAATCTGAAGGTTCCATTTAATTTTTTAAAAAGAATTTAAAAATATGAAAAAATGAGAAATAATACAGAATTTAACTAAACAAATTGATAGGAATTCAATAATCATTGTTATAGTGTATAATATTGTCGCCAAATTAGTTGTTTAGATTACTAGATATAAGCATGCAAAATTGGTTAAAAATATAAGAAATTTAGGAGAAAAAAAGCATTAA